CCGGGTTCAGTTCCCAGCACCCAGATGGTGGCTAATAACCATCTGTAACTCCAGTTCCAGGGGATCCAATGCCCTCTTCTGACCTCCATGGGCATTGCACAGCACGGGTGCACTTACCTACATGCAGGCAATACACGGGTACACATAAAATAAAAATAATAAATAAAATTATATTTAAAAATTGAAATAAAAAAAGCCACACATGGTGGTGCATGCCTTTAATCCCAGCACTCTGGAGGTAGAGGCAGGAGAATCTCTGTGAGATCAAGACGAGACCAACCTGGTCCTCATAGTAAGTTCCAGACCAGCTGGGGCTACAGGGAGACCCTATCTCAAAAAAAAAGAAAAAAATTGACAACAAAAATAATCATAGGTTAGATGTGTCATCATCAAATTAACGCATTTCATACAAATACTAATTTAAGTCAGGATGTGTGGGGTTTATATAAGAAGACATGGATTGGTGTGAGAATACGTAAGTCCCATGCAAACTCAGGCAGACAAGAATCCAGCATAGAACGGGGAAAATGAACAGCAGACCCCAGTCTTATCTGAAGGAATATTGGCAACTGATTGCTGCTAGATGAAGAGGAGCTCATCCTCCTAAAACAAGGGACTCTAGATAGGCTGACTAGACCTCAGTGGATGGACTTGCACTGGGGAATGTCTGAGGACACTGACTTGATACAGTGGGCCTTAATGGGGATGACAGAGTGTATGGGCTCTCGGGGGGATGGGGAGGACGATGGGAAGATGCCAGTGGGGATGGGGGTATAAAGATGATTAAGATTGAGGCATTCTATATGAAATAAATATTCAATAAAAAGCAAGCTTTAAAAAAAGACATGGACTGAATTGGTGCTGTACCTCAACAGAAGATAAAATGTACATTTAAAAATTGTTCCCTACAGACCCAAACTCTGTACTGACAAACAACAGACATTAAGTATTTGTGGAAATGCCTAAAAATCAAAGGGTGAATAGCACCTCCATCAGATGTCCTGACAGTAACCTCAGCCCTCCTTCCCACTAAGGCCTTGATAAGCTTCTTGTTTCCTCTATTTCCATTGCAGCAGCAGTAGTATTTAGGATTGACCCTGGAGTGGAACGTGACTCCCCAAAATAAGGTGACGGGGTTCCTACATCAGTAACAGGTTTTCTTGGAGATCTCCCTTTTAAATATGTCTCCCTTACATATCCCCCGTCAGCCCAGTGGAACTTAGTTTGGTGGTTCCAGTTGCTGGGAGACTTAGGACTTCTAGAGTCTGTGTCTTGAATGAAGAACTTGAGCTGGTGGTTGGTGTCTTCACTCTGGCTGCAGGAAGGATCACAGAAGGCATGGGCCTTTTGTTACGACCACAGAGTAGTAAACAGTTCTGAGTGTGGAACATGTCAGTAGGCTTTCTCAGTGAGCATGCTCTGTGATTTGAAGGGGAAATGAAAGAGGTGGCTGTTTAAAGGCAGAAAGAGCCAGAAAGACACTTTTTTTTTTTTTTTTTTGGTCTTTTTGAGACAGGGTCTCCCTGTAGCCCCATCCATCCTGGAACTCACTATGTAGACCAGGCTGGCCCTGAGCTCACAGAGATCCGCCTGCCTCTGCCTCCCAAGTGCTGGGATTAAAGGTGTGCGCCACCACGCCTGGCTTTGACACTTTTACTTTGAAAGTTTTCCAGGTCTTGCTTCACCAGAAGGCCATGCGGTACATGCGGACAAGAAAGGCTCAGCTCGCTGCTTTGTGTCTTTCTGTACAGCAGGGCAACCCTTGGTTTCCTTTCCTGTGAGCTGGGTTCAGGAACAATACCCAATTCGTGGAGTTGTTGCAAGAATTACATAAGAGAATATGTATGAAGTTCCTGGGATTTAGGTGATTAGTAAAGAAAAAATTTTGTTGTTCAAAATCAATGAGACTACCTTCCAAAAGTCAGGAGTTTTCAGATACTAAAACTAAATGGCATGTGCTCTGCAGTGGTAGATATGCGGCATGTGTCAGGTTTAATGCCATGGGTTTATTGCTGTTACTGGCTACATGTCAAATACCAATGTTCCTCTAGGGATAGTAGGTGTCTAAATACTGAATGAAATTTTTGAAAAGACCGTAATGATGTGAGCAGCTCTGTTTCTAAGTACCAGCTTAGGAAGTAAAGAGCTTTATTTTATTTTTTACCCCTCCCTAGTGGGGTCAGACTTACTTCCAAAGTAATTCATGATGTTTACTTGTTGGTGATATGGAGCAGTTCAGCAGGTGACAGGAGATCATTTCATTTCTGAACAATTGCAGCAGCTGTGTTCTCCCGCAGAGAAGCGTGCCCATGCCAACAACTCCAAGGTTTCATCAAACGGCGCCGTGGCACACATTGAGCCACCTCAGGATGAATGAACAGCGCTGCTTGCTTTCAAGACATGGAGAAGCCTTACGGTAGTTAGTTGGGCAGCTTCTGCAGGGATGTCTCCATCTGTCTCCTAGCCCAATGGTGTGTTTGGGACAGAGCATCTTCCCCACCTATTTCTTCTAATGTACTCAGGGGTTTCCTTGTTGAAATGTTTTCTCCAGTCAGAAATTTGAATATGTTTGCCTTTAAGGGAGAAATGAACACAAATGTGTACACTGTTGACTGAAAAAAAGTACTTTCCAAAACAATATGTAAAAGTTAAGGCCAATGCATGTTTTAAAAAGCATCACCTCACCAGGCGTGGTGGCGCACGCCTTTAGTCCCAGCAGAGGCAGACGGATCTCTGTGAGTTGGAGGATAGCTGGGGCTACAGGGAGACCCTGTCTCAAAAAGACCAAAAAAAAGCATCATCTCACAGAAGTCTTTTGAAAAGCAGATAATAACTGTAGTGATCATGGAGTATAAAGGTGTAGTTAACAAGGTTTGGTTTCTTCTTTGCAATGTCTCCTAAATTTTCTTCAGGGACTCTATGTTATTGTAGTGAAAAGTCAAGCCTGTAAAAGGACAGGCCTCAAAGTTCGAGAGAAGAGAGCCATAAAATCTTGTTTGTTGTTTTTTACTAATTTTTATTTTATTCAGTTTTCATAAAGAAATCAATACCATCAAAGTTCCTAGTCCAGCTAACCCCTAATGTAGGGAAGGAAAGCATCTTTTTATTCTGCTCATAGGCTTACTGTCTGAGGCACATTAAATGATGCTGACCACAAACGGTTTTGTTTGTTTACATTTATTTTAAAGGATTTAATTTTTAGAATTTCATACATTTTTTTTTTTTTTTAGTCACTAAGCTAGGAACTTAACCCAGAAAATCAAACATGAAATGTTGACAAGCTGGTGGCTATTTGGAGTAGGCGCTCTTGCAGCTTTTCAAAGAGTGTTCCTCTAGAACCTGCAGGAGCATCATACCCTTTTTCCACCCATCATCCTGGTCTCCTCCACAGTGGGTGCCATGAGCCACTGCAGGAGCCGTGTCAGGATGCGGACTGTGGCTGGTACCTGGAGGTCGGCATGTGGAGTGGGGATTTTGTACTGAGCAGGGGTAGGAATCATCACTGGCAGGGACTCTGCAGTCATGTTTCCTGAGTAGCCGTTCTTTTCTGTCTTGTTCTTACACAGTAGAAAGGCATTTCCTGAGCTACCTCAGCGTGATGCAGCCCAGAGCAAGTCATTTAGTTTTACTTTGATTTTAGTCTGCTAAAAGATTATGTCTTAATCAATTTACTTATAATTTAGGCCTAAATTTCAAGAAAGGATTTCAGTATTTTGGACATTCTACAAGCATCTGGAATTACTGTTCTTACTGTAGTGACTTCCATGCTCCTGATCCACTCTGGACTTGAGTTGAGCACCCCTGCCCCTGGGCCCCTTTCTGGTGTTCTTGTGCTTGACAGTGGTGTGTCAGGTGTTTAGTCACAGGCTGTGCTCTTGCTCCGAAAGGTCACGTTTGAGGTAGGTCAGTTGTCATGCCTTACTGCAGCTCAGCCTGAGGAAGAACACTGCAAATAGGCAAGATGTGCCTGTGTCACATGACATTCATGTTGGTGTCACAAGAAGCAGAGTTGACAGGTATCTGCAAGACTAAATAACATACGTCGTTGCTAATGATGTTGTGGATCAGTCATGGGATAAACTGTGGAAAACCCTATCGGAAGCTGTCCAGCGAGTACTTTGAAACAAGGAGTGAGTGGTGGGTAGCCTGCCTGCAGCAGTTCTGTGCTTGCTGGTGCTTCCCTAAGTTTTGTGTCTTATTTTTTGGCAGAAAAACACCTAAGTACACTAGATTTGGACAGAAGAAACCATGGAACTAGCTTTCTGCCTTATGCACGTATGAATATTGTCAAAAACTTCCTAAACTTTGCAGACAAAGATTTCTCCACCTAAGAATCCAGAACGTTGATTTATAAGAATTTAAGAGGACCCAGAACCTCTTATTATACTTAATCAACTTAAGCTTGGAAAGTTCTTCCTTATGTCTGACCCAAATCTTATATGGTTTGAGTACATTTTTTCCATCCATACAAATAGAAAACAGCTGTCCAGCCTTCCCAGTAACAGCCTTCATGTATGTGCAGATGGTGCTTATGTCAGCCCCAGCCCCTTCCTCTGGGCTAAGTAATACCTTTAGCCCATCTTCAAAGTCTCCATTTCTACCCCTTTAATCATCTTGATCTAAGTTTTTCTTCAGCCTTTTTTTCAATGCAGATTCTAAGCAGAATAAAATATTCCAAGTCTCACTGTCCACCAGAGTCTGTCCCTTCCTTTCCAGCCTTCCCAGCTGTCATGTGTCAGAATCATTTGCATAGGAAATAAGCAGTGTTGTCAACGTCCAGAAAGATGAGGTGTAGGACTGATGGCGGATGGGGTTCAGCTTGTGGCCTATTCCGGAGCAGTTAGTAAGCCAAACACCAGGTCTGTGGTGTTTTGTTGCAGTAAACTCGGGTGTCAGTTTTCTCCCTTGATGAGATTGTGTTGTCACTGAACAGGCATTCTGAGCCACATGCTGCACTGACACACTGAACAGTCGTATAACCTGTCTTTTCCCTTTTCCAGTCTAACAGGCAGCCTGCTAAGCTAAACCTTCTCACCTGCCAGGTGAAGCCAAATGCTGAGGACAAGAAGTCTTTTGACCTGATATCACGTGAGTCCTGTTTTTAAAACCTCGAGTTGGTGACTATGGGCTCTGGCATCTCAAGTCTGGGTATTTCAGCAACAGCAGCCTTTCTGAATAGTGCTCCTCAGAGCTATCCCTCCTGCAGGTGCAGCT